GATTCAAGGTCATCCCTATGAATAAAAATCATTTTTATTCACCTGAATTAAAAAATTCACACCACAGAAAGCCTATACTCTTGGAGATGGCCAAGAAAGGGGTTATCACGGGCAAGGCTACATCAACATACATAACCCATGGAAAAAAGTAATTTTGATAAATGGCTTCATAATAATCACAGTCTGTATCTGACATACGTTAAACACAAGACATATCCTATAAAAGGTGAATAAACAGAATTTATTTCTAATTATTAGAAATAAATGGAATAATCCTGAGGTTATCACATGGAACGATCCTGAGAATTTCTTGCTTCTGTTATGTCTGATCCAAGTTGAATACTGAAATTGACCCAATTACTTGACTTAATCCCAGACAAGCCACGAGGCAGGAACGCTTACTTGGTGTTTCACAGGCCACAGATAGGGCTGTGAAGCTGCAATCAGCACAGGGCAGGCTGCCCTCTGGGTGCCCTGGCGGGGCTGAAGGTCATCTAAGGAAGATCTCCGCATCTAAGGAAGATCTCAGCATCTAAGGAAGATCTCAGCATCTAAAGGAGATCTCAGCATCTAAGGAAGATCTCAGCCGCTGCTGCACAGACAGAGCAGCCCCTGCAGGCTGTGCTCCTACACCTTTTCTAGTCCAGGTCTGGGCGTGGTCACCTGCAAGCAGCACCACAGCAGGTCTACCGTGAGCACAGACAGGAAGAAAATCATCTGAGTGAGGGTCAGACTATGGGAAGATAGAGGAGGAGAGAGATTGCGACTTTCCAAAGCAAACATGAGAGAAATAAGTAACTGATTCAAAGTCTTGCAGTGCCAAGTTCACAGACCGTCTTCAGAATACATCAACAAAGGGAGGAGAAGCTGAAATGTTGCTGGCTTATCCTCAAAAGATCTGAAAGGTCCAACATGTCCAACTCCCCCCAGAGGAAATTAAGAAAGACAACTGGAGAAGGACCAGGGAAGCTGCTGTCACGAAGCAGGTGTGACAAGCCTCAGGGTGAAGGGGGAGGAACACCAGGCCAGATGGCCGAGATGCCGAGATGCTGAGATGCGTGGGTCCCCACCGGCTTTCCTGCTTCTCAGCAGCCACATGTGGGGACATCTGAGCAAGGGTGTGCCACAAACTTGACCTGCGTCATGAGGAGAATTTAGAGGATGATTCTCTAAACATGTATTCATGAAATCAGAAACCAAATAGGACCCAAGAAATCACTGCCACAAATATAAGTCTGAGTCGGTATTCTCTACTAGTTTCACAATGAAGCTCCAGGACTGCTTTATTAAAATAAAAGTGAAACCCTGAGCTCAGGAGTTCAAGACCAGCCTGATCAAGAGCGAGACCCTGTATCTAAAAACAGCTGGACAATGTGGCCAGCGCCTGTAGTCTGGGAGGCTGAGGCAAGAGAATCACTTAAGCCCAAGAGTTTGGGGTTGCTGTGACCTAAGACACCATGGCACTCTACTGAGGTTGACCAGGTGAGACTCTGTCTCAAAAGAAAATAAAAAATAAAAAGATAAGGGTGAAACCATGGTATTACTTCATTTTCTTACACATACCTCACACTGACAAAGAATCAAAGGACTTTATGTGATATTTTGACTAAGTTCATTATTTTTGAAAGGCACTTTCAGATTATTTTTTTCCTAAATGTTAACCTCTCTGACCCTTAAAAGAAGTGGCACTAAGTTCCTGCACTAAATATTTAAAATATCCTTTTCTGTGAATTTTTCCATTTACCCCCACCGCCATGTTCTCTGTTCCTCATAAGCAAACTCATTCAATTAATCATGGCCTATTAGACCTCTTAAGATGACCTAGGTCCAAACTTATATTTTACACTAAGAAAGTAAACACCAAAGGAGACGCAATGCTTTGAGGAGGCCTCAGACATTACGAATAGATCTGAGAAGGTGAGGTTGTTGATGCTTGGTCACAAATTCCCGTGTGACAGTAACAACAATACTAGTCTATGCCTCGTAATAACAATATTCCATGCCCATCCAGCAATACCTATACCTTCAACCTGAACTTAGGCTTATAAAAATTTTGCTAGTTTCTTAAGAAAACTAGTTAGTTCTATTTAAGATTAAGCAGTCAAATTCAATTTTTAGAAAAATGTATCACATAGATATAATGACACCGCCTGGAAACAATGTAATAAAGGGTCTTGCGCTCTTCCTGTCTGTCTTGTTTCCAATCCATGGTGGATGCTGCTGTGCTAATTTTCCACAGGGGGCCACTAAGCATATAATCTTTCACAATCCTTCTCTCTGTTGGAAAAGTGTAACATTCACCATCTTAGTCTTCTTTGCAGCCGGGGATAGCTACTGTGTTTCCCCGAAAATAAGACCTACCCCCAAAATGAGCCCTAGCAGGATTTCTATGCATTTGTTAAATATGCCCTACCCCGATAATAAGACCTAGTGATGGGCATGGCAGAGTATCTGCATAGCCATGTCATGCATCTCAGTGTGGCAAGACATTCCCTGAAAATAAGCCCTAGAAAAAATAAATATAAGACAGTGTCTTATTTTCAGGGAAACACGGTATATAACTCGGTTTGGCCAATAAGACAGAAGTGGAAGTATTCTAGGGAAATTTCTGGGAAAGCTTTTAATTCTTAATAAAAGGCATAGTCCAAAAGGTGCTGCTGCCTCACTGTAAGGCTGACACCGCAGCTGTCACCTTTCTGTTAGAAGGTCACAGCAAGAGGACCATAGCTGACCTGCTGAGGAGGTAGCACAGAGATAGGAGGACACCTGCAGACTTGGTGAAAAGAACAGCTTCCTATTTGTTTAACCACTGTTAGGTTTTCTGATCCATATAGCTGAAAGCATTCTTGAGAAATACATCTTTAATTGTCTTTCCAAAGCCTCAATTCTCAACTTTCTAGCCTGACCGATCAATACCACCTGGACCAGCCTAGCCTTCCACAATGCTGGTAGTTTCCTGTTCGTACCTAACAATGTCCCACCTCTGGGTCTTCCTAGCATACCCGCCCTGACCCCACAATGCCTGCACAAAACCTCCCCCCTTTTCTCATTCCCAATACCCTTAACAAATTATTCCCACATCCCCTTCCTCAGGCTGTTTGCTAAGCAGACTTTCCCTTTTCTAAATTCTTTATAGTATTTTATTCCTACAATTTATGACACTTATCACCTTGTATCTTCTCTTATAATTACTTATCTCTATGAGCTTATGATGTGAGTATTATTCATCTCTGTATTTCCACACTGCAAAATTGCCGGGAACACTGAAAGTGCTTAAAACACGGATGGAACAAGTTATTATGAAAATAAGTGATCTTTATCTTTCTAAATTAGCATTTAAATATCAGGGGATTTTAGAAAAATTATATGGGTATTTCTTTACTATTTACTGCAGCTTTAGATTCATACAGATGACAAATTAACCTTGGACAATTTACCCCATGCACAGTAAACTGTCCTATGGGACCAAAACACAGAGCACACACTGGCATATACACACGTCTGCCGACACATGGGTTGAAGGTGAGCTCTACCAAGCTAGGGACTCCTGCCCGTGATTTCACTCAGCGTCTAGCTGAACTGTCCTGTCTTGCCCTCATTGTGGGTTCTAGGCACGCACCTGCAGAGGCCTAACTCTATGGGCCTGGCAGAAAATGGCAGGGCAGGTTATCTCTTAGGACCATCTGCTAAGTCCTTCATGGAAAAAAAAAAAAACCCCAGCTTCACTCCAGGACAGCCTGGGTAAAAGGAAAGAGGGGAGAGCAGCTCTCCCTAGAGGCACTTTCTGCCTGTGGTCAACAATCCAAAAGAGCCGAGAGTCAAAGAACCACGTCCCCTGCAAGGTTAGTGAAGCCGAGTTCAGTGACAAACAGAGCAGGAGAATCATGTGAGGTAAAACTGGGACACTGGTGAACCCCGCAATTCAGGGCTCCCCCAATCACCTCCTAGTGTGCAGAGCCCACAGATCAAAGCCCGCAACCGTGAAGCACCAAAAAAGCCAAGGACCAGACTCTTCTGATGCCAGCCTCTCGACAGGAAGCACCGTCCTAAGGCCATTACTGGACTATTTCAAGTTCTATGTTACTGTGAAGTATAAAAACACATTTTAATAAGTCTAGACATAAATTATTTCTTAAGTCTTTTCTTCAAGCAAGAAATTTTGGAATTGCTCAGACTCACCAACTCTAGCAGTGCCCAAAGGAAAAATGGCTGCCTTCCTGCCCTGCCTGATTGGTCTCCATAGGCTGAAGCACAGCCATAGGGACAGGTGAGTAAAAATCCATCGGGGTCATGACTGTGTTCACCCCATAATGTGATGCTTCCTGTGATGAAAGTTAAATGAATTATCTTTTCCTTTGAAAAGACTGTCACTTATGTTTTTATTTATTTATTTATTTTTGCAGTTTTTGGCCGGGGCCGGGTTTGAACCCGCCACCTCTGGTATATGGGGCCGGCGCCCTACTCCTTCGAGCCACAGGTGCCGCCCGTCATTTATGTTTTTACATATGCGGGCTTGCTGAGAAATTGAAACCCTTAAAAAGGCTGAAATTAAATAATTTATCATGCTGAGTGGAAAAACAACTCCTTCTAGTAAAAGAAAACTGAAGAGAACTAAAGGAGTACGGAAGTAGACATTAATTCCTTTAAAAAAGTTACTAAAAATGTATATAGCTATCATTTAATTAAAAAAAAAAAAAAGAAAAAAGTTACTAAAATGCCACACCCAGGGAAATACGGTAAGTTTAACAAGCAGCAAAGTTAAGATTTTGATAAAATCTATTAAGATACTACTGTTAGGTCTTACACTAAAAATACAACTTCTAAAGCCTCTTCCTATAAGGAAATTCCTACTCCCTCAGTATATAATAATTGCTTATTACATTTTTCCTCCATATTTAAAAACTCAACTCTAGCTGTTCACAATTTTTTTTTTTTTTTTTGTATAATTAACACTTTGACATAACTTTCAAAATGATGTCTGGTAATGAAAAAGAAAGTACCTTTTCCAACTCCCTTGGTATTCGCATACACGTGTACACTCTCTCTCTTCTTTCTGTGTACTTGGCCTCATTATGCTCGAGGAAGTACCCTCTTGTTAGTTCAGCACTGAGGAACCTCAACAATGAAAGCTCTACAGGAAAAGAAAATGACAAAACAAAAAAGAACAGTATTTATCAAGGAACTTGCATTCTAGCTGGGGCCACAGGTAATATGCATATAAAACAAAGTAGTCCATGGTACTGTGCCTCGCACTGCAGGGTTACACATAAGTGAAGAGCAGATAGAACGGTATATATACACGTGTTGTCTTGTCTTTTTCTGAGACAGGGTCTTCCTCTGTTGCAGAGTGCAGTGTGTGATCACAGCTTACTGCAGACTCCAACTCCAGGCTCGAGGGATCCTCCTGCCTCAGCCTCCCTAGCAACTGGGACTACAGGTTTCCCCCCACCACATTCGGCTAATTTTTATGTTTTTTGTAGAGATGGGGTCTTGCTATTGCCTAGGCTCATCATGACAGCAAATATTTTTGAGAAAATTACAGAATAAAGTGGATATGTAAACAGTCAGAGGGAGCCATGTCACCCACCAGGCATTACCTTAGTGGAGGGTGGCCACACTTTTTCTCTTCTGCCGCACACTGGAGGAAGAGTAGTCTTGGGCCACACATTAAATACACAGCTACGAAAGCTGCTAGCCAAAAAAAGGGTCTGTGCATAAATTTTGAGGTATCTGATAGGAGGTAAATAAAACTGGTGTCAAATAATCTGCATGCAGCCCATGGGCCACAGGTTGGACACCCCTATTCAGTGTAAGAACTACTCTGAGTGAACTACATGGATACTGCTGCAACCACTCCCTCTTAGTTCAGCCTCAGAGATCCTACAAAAGAGTCTAAATAACACCATTTCCCCACATGAAGACTTACCAACATGATAATCACAACAATTACACTTGAACTTGAACCAGAGCTGAAAAACATCCCTTCTCTTGGCTCTTCCCATTTGCCCACATTTCCTCTGCCCTTCACTGAAGCAAATTATTTCACTGTCACCTCATCTCAGATGAGGAAAGTAAGACCCAAGACGGTAAGTGCCTTCCACTCAGCTATAATGGGGCCCATCAAGTGAGAGGCGAAGGCTGTGGTGCTCGAGCTCACCCCTTTCAGAGGTGCACCTCCCTGATCGCCCATCCCCTCAGTGACCTTCAGCACCCCTTACTTCACGGACACCTTCCTGCTATTACTCTGTAGGGGACTGAACTCTCCCAAGACTCAGGCTACCAAAAGGTTTCCTATTGTCCTCTCTGCTCTGAACTGGCCTTGTGGTGTTTTTACCAAATGCAGCCTAGGTGTTCCCTCCAAAAAACGAGAGAGGGAGGTATGGTTTCATTTCTACTTAAGGAGATGCATCTTCTGTGAGTGCTGCGTGCTATGCATAAGGGAAGAAGAGTTTACAGTCAAAAATACCCTTGAAAAGCCCTTAGAAAGACTTACACGCAGACGACTATGGTTCTAAAATAGCTTACCTCCTCCTGCACGGAAACAGATCGCTGGTTCCTCCAGCATCATGTCATGGGGCCTGCATGCTTATTAAGGGTTTATATTATATATACACATACATGTGCACACTTTTTTATGCCTAGGGTTATCACACGTATATTGAGTGTATATATGTGTGTGTGTGTACACACATGTATACTTCTTTAAATGTCACACTCATAATCTGCTGGCAGAGCTAGTGATACCACGAGAGACACCTGGGGGTGCACCTGGGGGTGCACGGAGAGGGGTGCAGACTTCCTGCCCCTCCACCAGCCCAGCAGAACCACCAAATGTGCTGTGTGCTTCAAACCCCCTCTCCTCAGTACACTTACCAATGAAGTCAGTGAGTTAAATGTATGTAAGACAAGAACTCAACTGTAGATATTAACAGATTTCCACATTTAAAGCCCTTAGTATAACCAAATTCATGCAGAATGAAACTTTTGGTTGGGAACTTTCTAGTACGTTCTAGGCTGGCAAAAAAAAAAATGAGAACAAGCTCTGCTCTTAGAAGGGGAGAAAAAGCCTTCTGAGCTGCAAACAAGAAGTATGGAAGATCAAAAAGATACTTACACCTAGTTCAGTTTTCCAATTAGAAATAAAGCAATGTTTAGATTAATGTCTATAAATATTTATTCTTTCATGTGAAAACAGAGAAGTTACAGGACACTCAGAAAGCACAAAAGATTCACATGCAATTTTTCACCAACCCAGAGGTGACACACTCTGGGTAGTACGTGACCTGTCCCTCCCTGCCTGCCCCCCACCCCCCGGGCGCTGCTCTCTCTGCAGTCAGACTTTCTGACCAGTGTCTCTTCCTCCTCTGCCTGCCCCTGAAGTGTCTGCTGGTTCCATGTTCTACTCACTGAGGCAGGTGTGAGCCACCTAACACCAGTATTCTCTCATGTGCCCTCTGCCACCTTCTCATTTTCATTCCCATTTCCTACTGACTCTCCTTGGACAGTCTGAGGTTAAAACCATCATCTACATGAATCCTGAAGCCTCCATCCTCAGCTGTGGCCCCTGAGCCACACTTTCACTGCCTCCTGGGCAGCTCCACCTGGAAACCCCCTACATACTTTCCCCACTGATTCTGTGCCTGTCCCTGAATCCTGACTCGAGTGACACAGCAGGTATGCTAGGAGCCCAGGGCCGATGGTGATGATCTCTCTCTTCTCACCACACCTCACACCTTACAACTCTTCCTCTGAGACATTAACATTCCCCTCTTCTTTCTGTTCTCCACCCTAGCTTGGTCCTCTCCATCTCTCTCCTGTTACAGCAAAGCTTCCTACTTCTTCAGTCTCTCCCTCTCCAGTCCTAGCCACTTGGAGGTCAGCGTCAGCCCACTCACCCAGATGGGTTCTCTCTCTGCAGTAACCTGGCAGTGGGTCTTCCTCACTTCCAGGATTATGTCCTACCCTCTCGGTGCTGGTGACACCAGATGCCCGGGACGTGCCTGAAGCCACTCACTCCTCCCTCCCGAGTCTCTAGGTCACAGTTCCCTGCTTACATTACTTTTCCTTTCTCCCAAACACGCCAGTGGGCTCACACAGCCCGAGGGCCCAGGAAGTCTGTCCCAGGTTTGCACAGTGAACACACTCCAACGCTGCCTTCTCCTGAAGACTTCTCCAAGTTTCCAGGCAGAACCCACCCTTGCCCTGCTCGGCCCCAGCACCTGCACCTGCCTGTGCTCTCCACAGCGACTAAACTCAGGTCGGTTTCCTGTCTGGTTTTCTCACTCACCTTTGCACCCCTGGGGCTCAGCACATAACAGGTGCTCAGCAAGTGTTTGCCACAAGAATACACAGATCAGAGGAGAAGAAGGAAAACTACAGAGGAGAGTGTGGCAAGAGAGAACCAGAAAATTAAAAGCTAAGGGAGAAATGAGTTAAGAAAGAATCACAAAGACACAAAATAGAGCAGCCAAATCACAGTCCCCTTAGGAGGCAGCAGCAAAGAGCAGACTGGAGCTTAGGACAGCTGAGAGGTGACGCAAAAGGCAAACTGGGTTAAACTTTCAGGTGGGAGATTTGTTCCTTCCAAGCTAACTTCTGGCATTTTCTCACTCTTCTTTAACACTAAACTTCTCTATTGAAAGATGATCCGTATGACTAAAAAAGTCGACTTAATCAAACTGTTCAGCGTTAGTGGAACTGCCTGATAAATAACCATGCACTAATACAAGAAAAGAATAACAACCACCCAAAGACCAGAAGCAAAAATCAGAAGTGGCAAAAGAAGAGAATATCCGATTCCTGCGGAGAGACCCTGTGAGGAGACAGAACTGTGCTGTGACGGGAGCGAGAGAAGCAAGAGTGACAAGCGTCACTCCCTGTCCCAGCCACAGCGGACACAGCAGCCTCCACTTAGTACAGGGCAGAGTGCCCGCAAAGGGAGCCCCGACAGGTACCCGACCCACAAGCCCAAGCGAACAGGGGCTGTGATCCAGTCACAGCCCGTGTGTGCCCCCGTTGGGGCGTCCACAGCAAGTGCAAGGAGAGAAAGACGCTGGCAGTCCCGACTGTGTTGTCTGGGTTACAGATAGAGAAACAGGTTACCGCACTATAATTTTAAACTTAACAAGGTTTATTTAGAAAACTACCCTCCACAATAGTGTCTTTTTGGTGACTGCAGGTGACAGTCTTTATCACAGTGAGAGCTGTGTTAGGGGCCAGAGAAGAGCATGGGACTGGCAATCAGAGAGAGGGGGGTCCTAGCATCAGCTCTCGCACACGTGAGCTCTCTGACCCTGGTCAAGTCATAAGTCATTTTCACAGAAAAGAAAGCAGAGGCTTTGAGTGTTGGGTTTGTTTTGTCTCCTTTGTACAGAGATGGTTTCTCTTTGTAGCCCAGGCTGGTCTTGACTTCTGGCCTCAAATGATCCACTGGCCGGGCCTCCCCAAGTCTAGGATTATAGCTGTGAGTCACTGGACGGCCTAGGGCAATTTATTTGACACAGATCAGTGAAGAGGGACGAAGAGAGTATTTGTATGAAAGCACAAAGCATGACCCAATGTCTTGAACTATTTATTACTAATTTCACAAGTTCCATATTATTAACCAGTTCTGGTTTGGTGGTTACTTAATGTTTACTGATATTTTTACAATCCTGGTTCTACAGTCAAAAGGTAATATGCCAAATAAGTACATTTAACAAACTACATAATCTAAGTAACTAATTTACTATAAACAGGTTATCATATGCATACAGCATCAACATACTTGAAAATGTTTTAAATACATTATAAATACAAAACTGTGTCAGGATGCTACCTCTAGACACACTATAGATTCTACTACGAAGATCTTCACAGTATCAAATGATAAACACCTAACACATTCTGAGTGCACAGCTCTCACTCCCATGAGGCAGGCAGGTTCAATTCTTATGCCCATTATGCAGATGAAGAAACCAAGGCATAGAGAGGTTAAGGAGGTCTCCAAGGCCACACAGGAAGCCAGAATTCACTCAGCAGTCTATCACTAACATGGGCACTTCTCACCATTAGATTTTTTTGCCCATCTTCATGTCCTGTGCTTTTGTAAACAGGCCACTATGTGTTCTGCCTGGAAAACTAGAAGCTTTCCTTCCCCTCCTTTCTCTGTGCTGCCCCAGCACCTTGGGCTTATTTCTGTTAA